ACCCCGTATTCTTGGTCCGGAAATATTGAATAGCGTCGTGAATAAGTCTTGCTGCTGCTTTTCTATTCCTCTTTCGGTTTTGGATATCTTGCTTTCCCTCATCAAAACAAGCTGTTGCGTCACCCCTTCCCCCTTAAAAATAGGAAAAAGTATTCTTATAGAACAATAACAACAACAATAATAGTAATAAGTCATAATAATAAATAATGAAATAAGTTTTTTAAAGAAAAAAAAAAGAATTTCAATCTTGATCGAAATCCACCCGTCGATCAAACTCACGTAGCCCTTGCCTTTGACCCCCATCTCGTCAGTCAGTACCCTTTCTCTCGTCAGTCAGTCCCCTTAATTAACCAGTGGGACCCATCTCTTTAGGTCATGAGGTCGCTTCTCTCCCTTGGTGTTGTGTATGTATCAATCAAATCCATCTCGTCTTTCAACAACTGTCCTAAGTCCTCCCGCTCGTCAAAGGTGATATGTGTAAATAACGTTAGAAATAGTCGGACCCATCCGCCATCTTGTGTTGTCTAGCTGCAGTGCACAATGAGATAGTTTCTTCTTGCATCGAAAAAATAGTACCGACCCTCATCGTTCGAAACGTTTTATTCACTCTTTTCGAAAAGCATAATTTGTACACATTCAAGAGAAGTTATCCGTACATTCTTCTCTCGCTTAAAAATCTTATTTGTATGAAAATGTGACTTTTTATTTATGAACAATGATGATTTGTTTTTCCAATTTTGCCAATTTCCATCATGATTTATTATTCCACCATGAGCAAATATTCCATCATTGTAAATTATCACGTGTACTACCAACATTGCGAACAATAATGTAATTATTTTCTGAACACATTTTTGCCTTTTGCCATCAGGAACAATCTCTCCATCTTTATCACGATTCCATTCATTGTTAATTATTAAGACGAACAAATTTTACGACCATCTGTTGTTCCATGATGCATCACTCCATCATTAGGCATATGTTCCATCATCCCTTTATTTTAATATCAGCTAGATCTACATCACCATTGCCAGTGCCCTCTGTGATTTGTGCCGTATTTTGTCACAACAAATCCCGTGAATCTAGGTCATCGTTGGCACTGTCATTGCTGCCACTGTCATTGGCTCTGTCATTGCTGCCACTGTCACAGTTACGTCCTACCTTGTAGTTTGTCGGTTAAGTTATAGATAATCATCATTATAAAATTCATTAATCATTGAAGCCACTGTCCATCATTATTAGTTATGATTATTTATCTCATTAATTCAGTCAATAATCATTCACTTTTATTCCACCATGGTTTCATCATCATTGTGAGTAGTAGTCATTAGCATTTTTTTCTTTTTTCTTTCGTCTTCATCACATATGAGGACGTGACAA